AGTTTTGCTTTCACAACGAAACGCACAGCGTCACACACGGCGGGCTAGAGTGAGAACGGCGCAGCCGGCGGATTAGACGAAGGAGCGTCCGGAGGGCTTGCGGCAACCACATGTGACGACCCTGGGCTGGACTCCGCTTCGTCCACGGTGAAAGCCGATCCGGCGATCCACAGCGCGAAGTTGATGTATTTCCTCAGCGACCAGCACGGATCAGCTCCAGGCATGACGAAGCAGATATCGTCCTCTTTTGGAAGTCCAAACAAAGTAGTTTCGCTTTCACACCGAAACACAGCGCCTTCACGACATGGTGGCGGCAACAACAATACTACAGCGAGAATAAAAGTTACGCCTTCTTTCTTTGCGTGAACATTTGGGTGGCGTTATGCAAATCTTCCCACATAGTGACGTAGACATGTGGGGGCGTGTTAGAATGAGCCGTTTTAGGTAGGCGTGGTTGACTCTTAACTTTTATAAAGAATATCTCTTTGGATTTGAGACTTTAGTCTTTGCAACTTTACAGATCTTCTTTATGCACCAAGAGCTTGTAACACTCCAAAGAGAAAGGAAAAATTTAAATCGCATCATATGACCCCTTTAATAATATTTAAATATCTCATATTGAACTATTTTATTCATAATAAATGAATGAACAACCAATTTAAATTATTTATCACTGCAATTTCACATAGTATTTTTTTAAGATAGACAAGTGTGCATCAGTGTTATTTTAGTATCACAGAAATACTATTGTAATTTTTGTATTAATATTTTGAATTAGTTTTAATTTTTATATTTTCTGTTTTCATGTTAGTTTTTATTGTTGTGTTTTTGTCATTTTTATTAGTTTTTTATGTTTATTATTTCATTTTATTTCAGTTTTAGTCTGTTATTTTATTCATTATAAACTTCATGAAAATGAGAAATATTGCATAAGCAACTAATTGAAATAAAATAAGTTGAAGTTTTGTAGATTTTATTTAAAATTAAATGTATTTTATTTCAAGTAATGATTTTTTTTTTTGTTTTGTTTTTAGTTTTAAGTTTAGTTAACTATACTAACTCTAATGTGTTTATTACCTGGGTACAAGATTATACTGTCTGCGGTTTATTTTTCCCTTCACCAGGTCTCTGACTGACACAGGGTTGCCAAAGCACACATGCATGCAGCCGTAATCCTCCTTCAGCACAGTCCTGGCCTTCAGCAAAGCCTGCAGATGCACAGCAAGAGCTCAGAACCAGGTTCTTTCCTTAATATTTTGAAACACATTAGACTTCAGCTCTCTTTGTATTTTTCACAGACTATACCCCTGTGGTCTCTTTCGGTTTAGGCACTCCCAGCAGCTCATGAGCGAGGAGCGACTCCTCCAGCACACGCTCATAACTGATGCTGATGGGCACCAGACTGATGTCAAACACCTCTCCTTTAAAAAAGGATTGCATAAGCAACTAATTGATATTATATAAATATTATATTATATAAATATTATATAAAATAAGTTGAAGTTTTGTAGATTTTATTTAAAATTAAATGTATTTTATTTCAAGTAATGATTTTTTTTTTTTGTTTGTTTTTAGTTTTAAGTTTAGTTAACTATACTAACTCTAATGTGTTTATTACCTGGGTACAAGATTATACTGTCTGCGGTTTATTTTTCCCTTCACCAGGTCTCTGACTGACACAGGGTTGCCAAAGCACACATGCATGCAGCCGTAATCCTCCTTCAGCACAGTCCTGGCCTTCAGCAAAGCCTGCAGATGCACAGCAAGAGCTCAGAACCAGGTTCTTTCCTTAATATTTTGAAACACATTAGACTTCAGCTCTCTTTGTATTTTTCACAGACTATACCCCTGTGGTCTCTTTCGGTTTAGGCACTCCCAGCAGCTCATGAGCGAGGAGCGACTCCTCCAGCACACGCTCATAACTGATGCTGATGGGCACCAGACTGATGTCAAACACCTCTCCTTTAAAAAAGGGCTCCAACACCATGTGCATCATTCCTGGAAGGATCCAAACACAACTGGAGAACATGCAGAACCCACATTTACAGTTTACCATCTTAACTACAAGCTTACCTAGTTTTGGTGTGAGAGATTTCAGCGTTCTGCTCCGTAATCCTTCAACGTAAAACTCTAATGGAGCATAACCTGTCTGCAGAAAAACAACTACTGTGAGTATCAGTGCTAATTATATTTTCAGGGCTAAATAAGTGTTTCTGTAGTGCAATATAAGATATTTCCAAATACATATTCGGGAGTATTATTAGAGATCTTTAATAATGTGTACTAATTAACTGTGGAACATACATTAAAAAAGTAAACAGTCCATGTTTTGAAAGAGCATTAAGCATTAAAAACAAAAATTAATTGTTTTAAATTCCACAACTGAATTTATAGTGTACAGAAGATGGATATTCATTTTGAGATTTGTTAAAGATTACATTTAACAGGGTTATTCAATTATTAGTGTTATGTCTATTAAATTAACATTTTAAATATTAGTCTATTAAATAAAAATTTCTTCCTTGCATTCAAACAGCTTTGTTTCTTTTTTTTTCTCTTTTCTTTTTACAAATAAATGTTTTTATACAAAGATGCATTAAAATGATCAAAAGTGACAATAAAGATCAAAAGTGACATTTATAATTTATGAAAAAAGTTTATTTCAAATAAATGCTGTTCTTTTGATATTTCTATTCATCCAAGAATCCTGAAAAAATGGTTTCCACAAAAATACGAAGCAGCAAAACAGTTTTTAATATTGATAATAATCAGAAATGTTTCTCAAGCAGCAAATCAGCATATTAGAATGATTTCTGAAGAATTGTGTGACACTTAAGACTGGAGTAATGATGCTGAAAATTCAGCTTTGCATCACAGGAATAAATTACATTTTAAAATATTTTACAGTAGAAAACTGTATTATTAAATTGTAATAATATTTCACAATAATAATGTTTTCCCTGTATTTTTAATCAAATAAATGCAGCCTTGGTTAGCAGAAGATACTTTTTTTTTTTTTTAAATAAATAAATACCAACCCCACATCTTTTAATGGTACTGTACGATCATTTCTAGACAAATAACCTCTAACAATAAAATAAATTCTCACCCGCACAATGGTTCTGACGTACTCAGACAGCACCGCCCAGTACAGCTTGTCTGAGCCAATGGCACGACGGATAAAGAACGCTCCTGACCGCCGAAAGATCTCACCAATCAGCTTCATCCCCATCAGAGCTGTAAGAGAAATAAACATGGACAGATTTGGATAGTTGTGAGTAGAGAAATAATTCACTATCACAGCCTGAATACAAGTAGTTTTATGTTTTGACATGACAGCATTTAGTTGCATTTTACATTCAAAATATGATGTGACTGTGGGATTTTGCCACCTACAATTACATTAAAAATCAATAGATACTTGCGAATTCCAGCTGCAATGACGGGGATAGAGAGGTCATAAGTGAACATGATGTAAGACAGAACCAGGAAGTCCACGTAACTCCTGTGATTGGGCATCAGGATGACGGGATACTCCTGAATGGCTTGCTGGAGCTGAATGAAGACAGAATTCAGTGAAGCTTTCCTTTTAAAGAAAATGTATTCCTATTATGCAAAAATCATTTTATAAGGTGTTTGAGCACAGTTGTGTGGCTGCAGTGTGTGAAAACAACCAAAATCCACCCAGTCATTTATTAGTAATCACAATAAATCATAAACAGTCTCTCAGAACAAGCGATTCCAGATTTCTCCCTAGGTACACATCACCATAGGGAAAAGTCCCGCCCATTTGTGACGCTCTCTGCCCTATTAGCATAGACACAGGCCTGAGTGAGAAGCAGCAGTCCAGCATTACTGGAGATATACAATGTCAGCGCCAAAGAGGCAATACAAGTGTTGTGTTTTGGGATGCACCAATGAACATAGGAGCTCCATAGACTCCCTCCATTTGAGGACACTGTGGTTAAGTTTCATTTTCGTAGGAAATATACCGAAAAAAAACAAAAACAGATGAAGTCGATTGCTTGAGAGTTTCTGACAGTTTCAGTGCGTGAGATTGTTGTGTGTTGCCGGTGTGCCAGCGGAAGCATTAGCTTTTGAAGCTCCGCCCTCTTCTGAAAAGGGGGCCAGGAGCACCAGCTCATTTGCATTTAATGGGACAAAGACAAAAATGGCACGTTTTGGCTCATACAGTAAAAGTGGCAACTTAAACAAGCTATAAAAAATTATCTGTGGGGTATTTTGAGCTAAAACTTCTCATACACACTCTGGGGACTTCAGAAACTTATTTTACATCTTATAAAAAAGGCCATAATAGGTCCCCTTTAAAAGAACAGAAAAACTCTAACCCGTGTGAGTCCATCCTCATTGACGTGTATAGAGCTGAAGACGCTCTTAAAAACTTTGCTCAGTGCGAAGCCCAGCAGACGAATGAATCCCAGCTGAAGGTTTTGACTCATCTCATCCAGCAGCGCAGATGCCTCTTCTAAAAGCGCTTCACGCGATTCGTCACATTCAACCATAATCTGTGTGTGAGCGAGAGACGGTGAGTAAAACTGGTGTGGCATCTTCTTTTTATAAGCATCGCTCTCTGTCTCTCACCTCCTGTATGATGTAGCTCAGGTATTGTGATTCAAGCACCATCCTGTTGAGAGCGGCAGCTGAAATGGGTGTGGCCCCACAGAATGGCTGAGGGTTAAAGGTCCGGAAGGCGTGGCTTAAGTCACTGCTCCGCCTCCTTTCCTCCAGAATGTCAGAGAAGCCATCAGCTTCTGCACTGTCCACACTCTAATACACACAATATTACATGTTCAATAAAGCAGAAATATAAACAGTTCATACATAAACAGTATCAAAACAGCAAACCTTGTATTTGGTTGCATTTAGGTTATGTGCAGTTTGCGTATTTGAATGACCAAAAATGAGTATTCATTTGATAAAATTACATCGTAATTAAGATTTTTTTTTTAAACTAAGTAATAAGTTTAAGTAGACTCAAAACATAAATTTAATGTTTACATACCCAGCTAACATTCTCAGAAGGTTCCCTTAGTTATGTTCCAGTAACGTTTCAGTATGATCTTTAATAATGTTCTCAAAAAACATTAGCACAAAAACGTTATTTATACGCTGCACGTGGAAAACATTTTTCTGAAACATTCTAGCTAGACATTCGTCTAACATTTTTTAAATGTTACTACTTCTTTTAGAACATTGAAAAGTATATTCCCTTCATTTTTGCGAAACTATGAAATTTTATGTCTATTATGTTTGCATAACTAATAAAAAATGTTTTAAAAACATTTTAAAAACTAGACGTTTGGAATGTTCAGAGAACATTCTTGAAATATAACCTAATGGGAATGTTAGCTGAACGTTCTTAGAACATACTGTATTTTGTTAGCTGCATAAAAACAAAACCATTCAAATAAGAGTTTTTAAAAAAACGTTTGTAGGGCGTTATTTTATCTACTTTTTAAACATAATAAACAAAATTGTGATTATTTTAACTATTTTAAATTTGTAAATGGACTCGTGAGCCACGAGTTTTTTCATTATTATTATTATTATTATTATCACTACTTGCTTTTTAAAATCAGTACAAGCGATGTCGAAAATAAAAAATGAATGGCTATTTTGATCTGTTTTTTGCTAGTGCATCGAGTTTGAGTTTAAATCAGTCGGAGCGGCTACAGCGTAAATGACTCACTCAATTGAATTGTTATCTGAAATGATGGTTCGCGAATCATTATTCAGATCAGGTCTTCGGAGTGCGTATCATTAATCTTGATTCAGATCAGGACTTCAGAGTACAGATGGCGAATAATTTGATTCGGATCGGACCTAGGAGCGGGTTTACAAATCTTTTGATTCAGATCGGGACTTCGGAGCACTTGTCGCAAATCAGTACATTTACTAAACAGTATTAAACAGTACAAAACACCAAAACATTAAGGCAGTTAGAAAAACGAAAGAAAGAAAGAAAGAAAGAAAGAAAGAATACACAGATACATATCCCTTAAGATAATTAACCATTTATTACAGTAAAAGTGTAGTAACCATTTTTTTTTTTGTATTGCGATTGCGTATTTGATTACTATTTGTATAATCACAGTCTTACTACACATACCATGGTTAAACTATAGTTAGTGTAGCAAAACCGGTTATTTTGTGGTTACCATGTTTTTTTGTTTTTTTTTGGTAGTAAAACCATGGTTAATTTTCGTAAGGGTTGTATTGCCAGGTTAACAAAAAAGTAATAAATTAAATTAACATCTTAAAGGAGACATATTATGCCCCTTTTTACAATATGTAATATAAGTCTCTTGTGTCCCCAGAATGTGTCTGTGAAGTTTCAGCTCAAAATACTCCACAGATCGTTTATTATATCATTTTGAAAATGCCTATTTTGAGTGGAAGCAGAAACACGCTGTTTTTCGGGCCTGTGTCTTTAAATGCAAATGAGCTGCTGCTCCCCGCCCCATTCCAGAATAGAGCTGTGCCATTACAGCTCATACCTGCTAAAAACATCTGTTTTGGTTCTGATTATCATGTTTATCGCGCTGAAATCATGCCGGGGACCTGATTATAGCACTTAAAACCTGGAAAAGTCCGATTTTTTATGATATGTCACCTTTAAGAGGACACATAGGATGAATATAGAGATGCCGTTGTCACTGTTTTAGGAGGATTAACAGAGCTTTGGATAGTTTCCATATTGTTTAGATAAACCTTGAATAAAGAAAACTCTCTTTATGAGTATGTTAGCTACCATAGCTATAAATAAGATGACATGAAACTGTGGTCAAAAGTCTATCATAAACGCGAAAATGTTGGGGTAGTTGGATGGATGGATGTTGGCTGCTGTTAGGTCCCCACCAATGTCAAAATCAAACCTTCACTTTGTAGGGTAATCCACTTTCACTTCACGACAAATTATAACCATAACTCCTGAAAAGGTTGGCAATAGATTTATATAATCATATATGAATTAGTTTTTTTTTTTTAAAGCGCAAAACGCATCCTGCGTAGTTTACTTTCCGTGTGTTTAATAATGGAAGCAAAATAAAAAGTGAAACAAAAGCACTTTTCTCACCGTGTTCATACTGCTAAGGCTAATAGACCACCAAAGCTGTGTAACGTTACACAACAAACGCGATAGCCTATAGTTTGGCGCGTCGCGTTGTGTCGCTCTGTACATCCGTTATTATAATACGCGTCCGTAGCAAATAATTAAACAAAGATACCTAAACAACAGACAGATCATGTTCATACCAGTGGCTCCATGTCCCATACAAGAGCAGCAGGTGTAGTTCTCCTCTCCTCTGATCATGTGAGGAGGTCAGAGTCAAGAGAACCGGCCAACCCTCGGACCCAACCTCGGGAACGCCTCCGGTCGCGTGACCTGTTACCCCCAATAATCTCCAACGTTAAACAATCTGTGTCAAAGATTATCGCATTTAACAGAGTTGAAAAAATGTCAAATATTATATTAAACACTGTTTTTATAACCGTAGACATGCATTTAACCCTTTCACCTCTATGCCTTCAGTGCAAAACAAACACAAGTTGGCACCCTCCTCACTCGCTGTCTTTGGTCATGTAATCAGTTACAAAGATACTGGGCCAAAATTGTATCTGAAATGAGTAATATCTTTGATAAGGAGTTGATTGTGGATCCTTTAATTTTGATCCTTGGTCTGCCGGATAAAGCTTAGATTTTATCAAATGAAAAGAGACTACAATCTTCTCACATTTGCATCCAGGAGAAACATATTAATGAGATGGATAAGTGATATGACTCCAACTATATCTGGATGGCACAGGATTTTAATGGAACTAATCCCACTGGAATATTTAACGTTTAGTTAATGGTCAGCCAGGTCAGTGTTATAATGTCTGGAAGCCTTATATCAATAATCTAGGGATTGATTTGTCAATTATTCTGTGGAAGAGCTTTCCTATTCATGTACCTCAAGTGAGTGCATACGACTTAGATTTTGTATTGTACTACCTCTATGTATTTAGTGTGGTTATCCACTTAATTTGAGTATCTAATTTTTTCCTTTTCCCTTTTAGTGGCTTAGGATAAATCTGCTTTTGCCGATTTTTTTAAATGATTATTGTTTACATTCATATGTGTTCTGTTCAAGTTTGAAAACGTTCAATAAATATATTTGGGAAAAAAAAAATGTTTTTATTAAAATTAGAATGAATGTAAGTTATTTTATTATTGGTGAGCTTCAAACCTATTTCTTTTGGCGGATCATTGCATTTTAAGTCATTCTCATCTTATGGCGAAATATTTCAGAACCTCTATGGACTGAAAAATGATAAACATTTTCCACTGTCCAATTATGGATAAACGAGATAAACCTGCAATAAATCAGAGTGCCACTATATTTGATATTCTTTTTTATTGAAAAACAAAACAGATGAATTTCCCCACATCTTTCACTCAAAGAATATGAGAAATACAAACACTGCCGTCAATACATTCATATCGTTCTTTGTTTTTTATACATTCTATGGTCTTTCTCAAGCAGCAACCTCCCGCTCTCTCTCCTGAAGCCAACACGGAAGTGACTTAAACTGTAATTCATCGACTGGCCGCTAGAGGCTGGCTGCAAAAGGGAGTCAATCCCATAGACTCCCCATGTTAAAATGCCTAACTTTACAGCAGAAAAAAACATGTTTACAGCCTGGTTCAAAAAATGATTTTGGTCTATATAGCTAATTTTGCCCTTCATGACAACTGTGAGGGGGGTTAATTTTTTTACCAGCTCCCGCCTCTTTGCCCATTTTCGATTATCCAGGAGTGATGCGTGGTGGCGACGGCCGGCTCCGCCCACTTTGAGCTTCAAAAACTCTCTTCAGAAAACTATGGGTGACGTCACGGACACTACGTCCATGTTTTTATACAGTCTATGGTCTTTCTATATTCTGTGCAGTTTATGTGAGCTGTTCAGCGACTGGTGTTCACCATCTGTCCGTCCACGAGGGGAAGCTGTTCTCTCCAGAAGGTGAACTGGCTGAAGGTGTCACTGCAGGGGAAATCACAGGAACCTCTGCGCTTCAGGAGCGGGAAGACGTGATGCACCACCTCACCTAGACGCACATACCTGCACAGGTAAAGCACAGCTGACACATTCATATAAAGCATTTACAAACACACAGTCAGTAGCAGTGCTAACTGCAAGAGTAGTAACAGAACAGACTTAACTATATTTTTCAGTAGCATGCAAATAGTTATTTTTTCAGTTCTTTTTGCATATATATAAAGCATTAGAATGTCTGATAAACTTTAGGCTGTGTTTACACTTGTAGTTTGGTTCTCTTGGTTCTTTTGGTCTGGACCAAAAAAGTATGCTGATGAAAACAAAGAAATTGCTGATGAACAAAGAAATAGCACCAGAGTTTGATTTAATAGAACCAAATATGTAAAGAGATAAGGTAAATGTATAGATAAAAAAGATGTATAGGTAAAAAGTCTGGGAGCCCCAGCGCTTAGTATATAGTATACAGTAGTAGCTTACAAACAAAATTAACAGCTATTTTTTTCAGAAAGGTAACTTGTGTGTAGTTGAACTACTTGAGGTTATGAGTAGCTTGTAACATGACAAACTACTTTCAAAGGTGCTTCGCTAACACTGGTCAGTAGTTTATACTCACGATGAGATGTTGGTCTTGGCATGTTCCTGGATCAGTTCTCCTTTAGGATTGACAGTGAAGATTCTGTTTAAGGGAACTCCCACCTCCTTATAGGAAAACACGTCCTGCAGACACAACAGACAGAGAGATTACAAAACTACACATCACACAGATCATCTACAGTACAGGCATCTTAATTAGATATGCAAACCATTTTGACTGACAAGTTAGTTGATTTGTAACTAATATTATTGGCTAATATGATGACCAATTAACCAATATTTTACTGCATTTCTTGCAATCTCATTGTCTCTGTGTTCACTCACGGTGCCTCTGTTCCCAAACGCTGCGTAGAAGGGCTCAGTGTTTGGGAGGAACAGATTCTTAATGTCTGTCAAACACGCCACCTTAAACTTCTCCGGCCTCTTCTCAATCACCTCCCTGGAAACACAGAGAGAGAGAGTGTGTCTGTGTGTGTTTTGCTATATTCTCTAGCACCAGCATTTCTGACACTTTCTAATGTCACGTAAAGTTGTTATGCAGTGGGTCCTTTATTTGGGTTCAAATAACAGAGTGTCTGCAGAGTTTCTAACATAAAGATGCAAATCCATACTATCTCAAAATAAATAATGTATCTCAAATTCAAATAGAATCCATGAGATATATAGTGAATCAAACCAGTGTGTGAGAGTGTGCACAGTAAAAAATATTTTTCCAAGTTGAAAATAAAACAAAAAAAATACTATTTTAGTTTTTCTACTTCAGAATTTTACATTTAAAAACCCCTTAACTGTCACCGTCCCACCTGTGGGACGCTTGGCGCTCTTTTATTTGTTGTCCTTTTTCTCTATCAAATCTTTTAGTAATCATCATAAATCATATATGATAAGCTACCACTAAATATTGTAGAGACTTGATTTGCTGTAAAGTTGCTTTGCAACTATTTGTATCGTGAAAAGCGCTATACAAATAAACTTGAATTGAATTGAATTGAATATATCATTTGAAAGCTTAGAAGCCCAAGATTCATCCTGTGAAAACCATTTTGAAATCGGACATTGCGTTACCATGGAAATGGTACTTTAAAATCTTTTGGCGGTCTCCTCCCCCTAGTGGGCAGTGTCAAGTGTCATATTACAAAATTCATTACGGTCTTTTAGAATCAAACCTTTTTATAATCTTGACAAAAAACATATAATTGGAAAGGTCCGAGTCTCAGGATTCCATATTTGGTGGTTTATTTTGAGATAGAAGTAAGATTGACAGAGAAATCTAGACATTTGTGACAGAAAAATGCATTAAAAAATTTCAATGGAGTTTGGATGGCACCCGGTGGCTGTTTGTGGTATAACGCCCTAAATAAAATCTCACAGGGACCTCAATTTTTTTCATATCAACTTCAAATTTGGAACATAACTTATTTAGACATAAGGCTTTAATTTTATACCAATTTTAGAGTAAAACCTGTTATGTAAAATATTTATTATATATAAAATAAAATAAAATTAATATAGTGCATTTTCTTTACAGTAAATTTAAACTACCATAACTTTTTGATAATTTAATTTAACACTTTCGCGATAATCTGCTGATTTTCTTCTTTAAAAAGAGACCAACCTTATGTCTGTATTCCAAAGTGTTCATAAATTACAACAATTTAAGTTTGGATAGTGCACCTGCATGCCTATTTTAAAAAATGGGGGGTGACAGCAACGTGTCACTTGTCACTTTGTTGTGATTATTGGTGAAATCCTGCAAGACTTTTTTCAGTGTGTTTGTGTGTATAATCACCTGTGCAGTGCTGATAGCAGGCTGCTGGGACTCAGTAAAACGGGTCCCTGTGGTAACATGGTTCCTCTCTCATTGACCCAGTGCAGGTAACCCCGCGTCATGTCAGCCATGCCGATCGCTCTCGCCGAGCAGTACAGAAACTTATACCCGTTCCTGTGAAACACACACAGATGCATTTCCCTCTTCATCCTGCTGACGTATCAGAGCATCAGAGAAAGCGTCTGTGGGCTCTTACTGGCTGATGCTGTGATACAGGCTTGCGATGCCCTGATGGGTCCAGTCTTTACCCAGCGTGGGCAGAATGTGCCCCAGCGTATCTGACCTGCGAAACGACATCAACGTTATGTGAGCGGATAAATTATTGTTGAAGGTTACGATTATGTTCACAACTACATACCTGGTGATTGTGCCGTCGATGTCTGATATGATGATTTTATCATCCCAGTTCCACAGGTAGATGGTTCCCTCACAGCGACACGTGCCCTGATACTGAGTCGTCACACTAAACACCACGTCATTAGGACCGTCCTTTAGCTGCAGACTGACCTACGGCAGACAAATAATCAGAGACACAATACACATGCTTCTGAAAAGGCCTCTTCTCAAATGTGGTTTTGAAAAGTGTGAATCATTCTAGTGAATTGGTTCACTTGAATGATTCAGTGATTCAAGTTTTGCATGGAATTCCAGGGTTCTGTTTTGTAGTGAAATATTTAACTAAATGGCACTGTTCATTACTATTTTGGGCTCAAATAAATTGGTTTTCCTTGTAGTATTTAGTGTGGCACTAAATTTGTTAATTATAAAGAATAATTATTATCTAA